AACCTCACATAACTGGCGAAATCTTGGTCTACACATCATCCCTGCTAAGATTGATAGGGCAGATATTGCAGATAAGGTAACTGGCATTCATAGGTGATATGTAAATTTGTGTTTTGAATTGTCATACAATATTACGGGGGCTTTTCACGTGCTCCATTCAAAGGGAGAAATAATAAATTGTTAACCCTACTTGCTTTGAATATTTATAATTTTAATGCCTAGATCAAAATATCGTATTTTAAATAATCCATCTAAACCTTATTTTATGGGTAAGTCCTTATTTTTATATTTATAAACAAATATTTACTGTTTATACACATATCCGCCAAAGAAAACACACATATGAACTTTGTTTTAATGCTATACAGTAGTTTAAAGTGTATTAAAGCATAAATAAATGCATCTATTTATCTAATAAACTGTAACGTTGAAGGTCGGATTTGAAAATGTTTTCTAGAGATTCTTAGCACCAAAGTGCAGCAGAAGATCCGATATTCTGAATCGACTTGATCAAACTTTCGTCATTTCCATATCTTATTCCTGGAAGGCATGTTTGACTTTTAGTTTGCTGCGGTGGAGAAGATTTAACAGAGTATTTTACCTTAGTAAAACATCAAGCAAATTTTAAATGTTCTTAAAATGTACTATGCAGTTTTTATGTTTTCATAACACATTTACTTTTGTTTGATTATTATCAAAAATCCCTTGTATATGTATAAAATAAATTTCCTTTTTTGGCCATAAATACAAATGCATTTGGAGTAGGTATTATATAGAGAGTACATTTAATTATCTCTGTGTTAATACAAGTGACTAAACATCTGAAGTTCGTCATCTCTGTAATGATCTCCAAGGATAAACAAAGTTATTTTAACTTCAGGTTTCGTTTGGGGGCATCTTAAGGAACCGGTGTTGCCGCTCTGCTCACAGATTCTAAATATATGATGAGAGGCAAAAGTTAAATAATAGAAGACCTTGTAGACGATGAACTATATACTGAAAATCTGCCGTGGTTGTTGTTCTTTACCGCAACCAGGAATCTCATAATACAGTTTGAAAATCATCGCCGAACATATTTGCGATTCGTTCTGAATAACGACTAGAGCTATTTCTTTATTAGTTGACAACATAGGAATTACTACCTTGTAGTTATTGTCGACATGGCTGTCCAGGGTAGTGAAGTTGCAGGCAATGATGTGTTCTGTATTTTAAGTATCAACCATACAGTGTATTTAATGAATTGATGTAGAATACTTGTATTTAGGGCCTACAAAGCATGGCATGTTACAGTATGACAACCAGTTGACTCACATAGGAGTTATAATCAGGCCAGCAAAGATGTCTTCTAGCTTCATTTAAGGATCCATCCGTAAATTTATGATTAACTGACGACCTTGAAATGAAGTAAGTGGACATATTTTCTGGCCTGAAGATGGCTCCTATGTGAGTTGAAGATGGCCACCATACTAAAAAACACTACATCGCTTAAAACATGTATTCTACACCAATCTTTTAGTATTTAAATTAAATCGGAAGGTGAAAGTGAAATACAGCATAATGAAGTATATTTCTGTTTTCTGCATTTACGATCATTGATTTTTTTTAGATATTGATTACTATGGATTTTTTGTTTAAAGATCACTTATTTTTACATACACCTCCTTAATTTTTTTTAATTTTTTTTTATACAACGTATTTTTGTAACATCTACTTAGTTAGAACTTACATTTTACTTGTTTTTATTATATGTAACTTCTATTTACCCTCCAAAAAACCCATAGTTAAACATATTGTATGTCTTTAAATAAGAAGATCGAAAAAATATAAATAATGTTCAATTTAATTGCATGCAAGTATGAACAATCACAAGAAGGTGATTCAATCTACATGTTAACGTATATCTTTGACCAATAGTAGATTAAAGGACAGGTTAATCTTCTTGACAGGCTTCTCTCACTCAAACGTTAAAGCTCGATAAAGCTTGGTTTGGAATTCACCATAGAGTTCATCAGTCACTGTAACCATCACTAGTTAATAACCGGCAGGTCTGTTAACCAACTAGATCCTTTATTCTATGGTACAATAGCCTCTCCAATGAATGACCACAGTTACCAGTTAAATAGACAGCAGCAACTTAGTGAACAACTTTGATGATGACTTTAAAGAACTGTAAATGATATATGGCTGGTTTCGCTAGCTTGGCTAACTAAATATAAAAAAAGAATTGCTAACAGTTAATAGTAAAAATTTAATTTTAATAAAGTTAACAGCTACAGCTTAATAGCAGCAATCCAAAGTAAAGTTTTCACAATGGTTGTAGACTGTAGGTCAACATGGAAACGTTTCTGCTTAATGGCAATAGCTGGTGTTATTTCATTGGCGAAATAAATATTTGAATTAAGGTTTTGGCTACACATTTTTCATTTAAATCCAAGTAGTAATCGTGAATCATTCATCAGTAGAGATTTGTTTCTATTCGTGCGAAGCTTCGTAAAGTACAGGTATACAGTACGTTGAGTTTTAAAGATATAGGATACATGGAATTTATGAAAAATCTCCCTAACATATACAGGGTGATTGGTACTCAGTGTGAAAAAAAGATTTGAAGTAAGTACAAAGTAAATGAAGAGTGATGATGCATATAAAATGTTCCAAGTCTAAAAATAAGCTTCCCAAAATATTATTTTATGTTTTACAAACATAACCATGCTTTGAAACTTAATACAACGATTTCTCAATTACCTGTATAAGGATTTGAGTAGATAATGCCATTTTCGTGTTCTACATTAAATTTTGAATAAGAATAGTACAAAATGACAGAGGATCAGTTGTAAAAACTCCATTTGTAACGTGCCTATTTTGAGGGGGGGTCAAACTAGCCTACTCCTATGTCTAGCCTATTCCTAGGCATAGCCTACAAGTTCTAACTAAGGTGGTACACGTGGTACTTAAACCTGGCATGTAAACTAGTGTTATATGTTTCAGTGTGGAAAAGTACGTCACACATTGTAAATAGATTAAAAGATAAAAATTAGGATGTTTGATACAAATTAAAAAAAAACTATGGTCTATTGCATTTTTCACACCCTGTATACAAGAAAGTGTTGGAATATGTTAAAAACTGCGCCATTTTATAAGCTTTCCAACCATATGCTACACTATTGAGGTTTAGATATTTTTTTGTTTGTTTTAGTGGTTTGAATGCCAGAAAACAGGGAACTTTTTTACTGTTTTACTGTTCAAGCTGAAACAAAAATACAACTTTTGCTTAATACATGCCGACTTTCTATGTTTTAAATGTTAAAGACACCATGCTTTGTGGTCTTCAAACCATGAAAGCGTACATCAGCAGACATAAAGCTTATGGTTATGGCTTATGGTGTAGCATATGGTTGGAAAGCTTATAAAATTGCGCAGTTTTTAACATATTCCGACACTTTCTTGTATACAGGGTGTGAACAAATGCAATTGACCAATGTTTTTTTTAATTTTTATCAAACATCTTAATTTTTATCTTTGAATCTATTTACAATGGAGTTTTTACAACTGATCCTCTGTCATTTTGTATTATTCTTATTCAAAATTTAATGTAGAACACAAAAATGACATTATCTACTTAAATCCATTTACAGGTAATTGAGAAATAGCTGCATTAAGTTTTAAACATAGTTTTTTTTTGAAAAACATAAAATAATTCTTTGGGAAGCTAATTTTTAGACTTGGAACATTTTATATGCATCATCATACTGCATTTACTTTGTACTTACACCAAAAAATGTTCGTCACACTGAGTACCAATCACCCTGTATAACTATAATATTACGCTTCCGTGAAACATTTTGATGTTTTGCTCCAATCCAGACTAGTAGCTTATTATTTAAGTCTTACATAGAGTTATTGATGTTCAATTATGATTAGTTTATTAATTTCTTTTTAAATTTGTTACACGACATACGCCATTTTACATAATATGTACAGCGTATAGGAATATCTCACAAAACAGAACAAATATTTTTAAAAGTATCACAGCTCGAAAATTTGGTAGCCTATTTACTGTTCGTCTTAAGTAATGTTCAAAAGTGGATATTATGTACTTAAGTTTAAATGCATTGTAAAGGTTAAATCCAGCAGTAAACCAACTAAATATTCAGTAAAATTTATACATTATTGCCATGAGTATAATTTAATTCCAAGAAATGTTTTTTTTCCCACATAAGTTACTGTGTAATTCCAACTTTAGATTACTAGTCGATTGACTTCATTACTTGGTAATGTAGCCATTAGTAATTATTAATGTTTTAATGTAGGACCTAGTCTCTCATATTCCACAGTCTTTTAATGTAACTTAGTTTATTTTAAACACACGTTTTATATTATGCAGTAGGGGTCATTTCAATTGGAATCTTTAGATATGCTGTAATATGTGTGTAGTTGATGTAGGTCTTAGTATTTAAGGTAATGCTTATAAGCCTATTATGAATGCACTTCAAAAACTATAATTCATGTAATTGCTGTTTATTTTAACTCTATCTTAATGACACGTAAACCAATATTAGCTAACAAGAAATAATTGCCTTATTAAAAGTAGTTTTTTTTTTCAAATTTAACTTACCATGTTAAAATTACATAAAATTATAGTCACAATTATATTAGACCAATTAAAATAAATCAATCATCTTCTAGCGTTATACTCCCTATATCGAACAAATATTTATTTAGTAATTAGTGGCTAGTCATTATTTATAAATGTGCTACATTAAATCTTGGCCATACAAACTCACTGTTCACCTGACGGTAATCAATAGCTGCAAGGAACAAATACTTCTTAGTAACCGAACAAAAACTAGGGTCAATACACTTATTATTACTGCATTCAATTACCTAGTTGTCTGGTTTGGATCTCTTATCGAAACATTATCAAATATTTACCTTCAAGTCTGTTGCATTTTCCTTATTTGTTTCGTTCTTATCGGTCTTCACAGTACTTTTTATAACATTCTGTTGGGTGATAGTCATGGGTTTTCCCTATGGTGTTATATTAATGTTTTGTTCCCAGTTCACAGTATGTGTAAGGTAAGTTAATTTATAGTTAATAATCTAGTTCATGTGTTGAAAAATAGCTAAGTTCCTAGACCCCAGAACTTTGTATGTGGAACTTTAAAGCAATATCTTTTAAAGTTAATTGTTCATGACAGATGTATTGTAGGTAGTTAATAAACCAACCTAAATCTATAAACTTCATTTAATTACCAACTGTATAAAATCAATGAACAGATATACACCTTTGACAATAGAAACATCAATCACAAACGGTATTTTTTCAATAGGCCTTTGACAATAAGTGGAATAAAAAAAAAAACAACATTCAATTTGATATTACTTGTAAACACAATTGTTAGGCCTTGTATTAGATCACCCATTTTATCTTATTTTTTTGACCTACACCGCATCCCGGTCGAGGTCAAGCTTCTTGGCGCGGAGAACACCCTGGATGTAAAGGGACACACAGGTCCAATTGTCCTCACCCTCCATCATCATCGGTATGACCGTGTCCACCAACAGCAGACCTACGAACTGTTGAGCCTGTAGGCGGGGCCTTTCCCAATGCTGGCAGTGGAAGAAAGTGTGTTCCACGTCATCGGGAATGCCTGGGCAGTACTTTCCAAAATAATGAATTAAAATAAATACAACATGATAAATATAATAACATTTCTAAAATTTGAAACTATTGAAACATATAAATAAATTACTTTAAAACTATTTAAATAATGTTCAATGACAAATACCACCTTTGGAAAGTATGGTGTGACAATAAGTTTAGCCGCCTAAAATTTACACAAGTTAACATCACATAGAGGAATTTACCGTTTACTGAAATGAAAATTTTGACAAGGTTGGCCGTAATTTCCCCAATAAGTCAAACATATTGTCTCTAACTTAACCTACATACAATTAATAAAAAAACATGAAATTTTATGATACACTACAAAATAATATATTGACTAATCACAGTTAGTTAACTGTATACTTTATACCCGTAGGATTTATATCAGACACTTTAAAAAGGACGATGTAAACCCATAACTCGCAGCTACAGTGAGTGATTTACATTATCAAAGCAGAAAATACTTTAATCTTATTTAGAGTCTAGACATACAGTGAAAAAGATGGTGTAGAACTCGTTAAAACACAAATTTCTAACTCCTAGGTTTTTTTAATTAAAAACGGTTCGGAGAAATTAATTTGTGACACTTGAGGTAAATATGCTGGGTGAAGGATGCTAGTAGAAAACGAAGGAAGATGTATTATTCTTAAAATGGAGATAGTACCTGGTTTGTCTAGGTAATTAGTACAATACACCTATAGAAAGCCTTCCAGGAGCCTTCCATCTGCTGCGAGTTGGGTTAGGCCTGGGTCGAGATGCATGGTGTGTTCCGCTGTCTAAATGCCGTAAACACATGTTGGTCTAGTACGGGAGCCCTGGGTTAGTGTCAAATGACTTTTTATTCTCTCATTTGAAGACTATCTGACATCTTGGAAAACGTCCAAACATTTATTCACTTTGAGATACATAATAGTAAAAAGTTAATATTAATAAAACACGTCATGCCAGTTAAGATCAGAAAGCAGAGCAGCTCCCACAGCGTAATTGACGAAGCCTTAGTAAATGGACTCTCCCGCTGCTTGGACAAAAAAGTCTGAGTAACATTCTTCTCCACAGCACATGAAAACTATGAGTCATCCTTTTTTACTTATATTTTTACCTGAGCCGGCTGAAACGGCTCGTTGTAAAAGTAGTGATACATTAATTATTGTGTCTTAGTGTGTAAGTCATCAGTTAGGATTGTTAAATGAATGTTACAATACGAAATTATATTTCACGAAAATAAATAGTAATTTAAATTAAATAGAATCTTGAGGTAAAATCAGAGGTATTAAATTAAAAATACCTTTCCAGAAAAACATAAAATACACAATATTACAAAGTTAAGCTATAAAATATGCAAAGAGGTGTATCTGATTATAAAAGAACGATTCATTAGGTATGTGAAATATAATAAATACCCCTTTATGGCCTGTGAAAAACTATAATTTTACTTCATTTTTACATTAATGTTAAAAGACAATTTATTAGTCACAAAGAATTCTGGTATTACATTAAATCAACATTCCATATATTTTCTTTATAACAACTTAATGTTGCGTAAGCTATCTTTGTTTTAACCTTTATGCTATACGTTTTGTCTCTCCAGGTCTAACGTGTGTACTACGTACAACCCGTTGTTCCTGGAAGGCACGTGTTCCTCCCACTACTCAGACACTGCGGCTCTGCTAATAGACGAGGTGTTCTTATCCCTGGCTGAGGCGGACTGCGAGCTGGCCAACCCCTGCAACTACCCTCCTCAGTACAACCCTAGGGACTGGGAGGAGTTCGACTTCATCGTCGTAGGTGCAGGATCTGCCGGCTCCGTGGTAGCCAATAGACTGACAGAGATCGCCGGGTGGACGGTCCTCCTGATTGAAGCTGGAGGAGATCCTCCTAAGACATCTGAAGTGCCCAATTTACGCGGAGCATTACACAATACGGAATATCAATGGCACTACCGATCTAACTCTGAAGAACCAACCTGTTTAGGATTTACTGGTAGTCAATGCAGCTGTGAAATGGGTAAAATGCTGGGTGGATCCAGTTCACACAACGGACTGATATATATAAGGGGAAACCATAAGGACTATGATGGTTGGGAGGCTCAAGGAAATGTTGGTTGGAGTTATAAAGACGTGTTGCCCTATTTTAAAAAGTCTGAGGATATGAGAGCTCCAGGAGTAAAGTGCACCCCTGATTTCTTTGACTACCATTCAGTTGGTGGCCCTTTAAAGGTTGACGACCTTAACATTGACAATACAGAACCAATACCAGCACTTTTGGTAGGAGGTTTATCTGAACTTGGATACTTCATAAACCCTGATCATAACGGTAGATATCAGTCAGGGTTCTGTAGAGTATCAGGTACTGTGGAGGAGGGTAGGCGATGTAGCACAGTGAAAGCTTTTTTAACCCCAATAAAAGATAGACCAAACTTGAAAGTATCTAAGTTTGCGCAAGCAACCAAAATATTAATCGATGAAAACACGAATGTGGCATATGGCGTTGAGTTGATTGACAGTAATGGCTACTTAGTTAGAGTTATAGCCAAGAAGGAAGTTATTCTGTCTAGTGGAGCTATAAGAAGCCCACAGCTACTAATGCTTTCAGGGATAGGTCCAAGTGATCATTTATGGGAGCGTGGAATTAATGTTATACACGATCTACCTGTAGGTAAACGATTGGAAGATCATCCTATTCCAGCTGGCTTAATTATATCACTAGACGTTACTTTACCAGAAGTTGATCAAAACCAAAGCATGTTTAACTTCTTATTAAAATTTAACAGTACTTATGCCGGAATAGGGATGGGTTCATTCATATTGTTTATGGAAAGTGAAAGAAAAGGTTTAGACTACCCAGATATTCAAGTTTATTTTGCGCACATAAATAAGAACTCATCTGGATTATTACAGTATACAAGGAGCCTCGGGCTTAATGACGACATCACTGAGAGTTTCAGATCTATTAATGAGCACTCGCCCCTGCTGTTGGTAGCACCATGTCTCATCGGGCCAGAAAGTAGAGGTTCTGTCCGTCTTCAAAGTAAAAACCCATTACAGTTTCCAAAGATAAATCTAGGTTATTACTCGGAACCAAGGGACGTTGATACTGTAAGCAAAGCCATTAATTTCCTTCGTGGTTTGGTGTTCACAGAACCGTTCAAAGCAGTAAATGCCAGGTTTCATGAAGTATATGTTCGAAGTTGTTCAAAATTCCCTTATGATTCACGTCCATACAGGGAATGTTTTCTTAGACACATGTCAAGTTCCACTTATCATTTTGTGGGCACGTGCCGCATGGGACCCCCGGGACACCCCGAGGCCGTGGTAGACCCTCAACTCCGGGTACAGGGTGTGAGTAGACTGAGAGTCATCGACGCCTCTGTGATGCCGAAGATTACACGAGGCAACACCAACGCCCCAACCATCATGATAGCAGAGAAAGGTTCGGACCTCATCAAACACACTTGGCTCAGCACTCCTTACAATGGTGTGGAGGCATTCAGCAGAGTTCTGCCTATACCACATAGAGGCTGGTAATACTAATCTACAAGGCAAATAAAAGTAATGTAGCACTGTCGTAGTTAATGTATTCATGACCTTACATTTTAAACTAATTTCATATTCTCAGTCATTTTTTTTGTTTTTTGTTTTATTGAAATATTTATTTTAATCATACTTGCCAAAATATATGATTGATGAAATTATAGCATTAATAAACCCCATACATGTCACAAAACACCTTCCAGTAGAAGAATAATTTATTTACTCAAGGTGAAGGAACAGCTATCGGAAATCTATTATTATGTTTTTTTCAAATATTTTCACGAGTCATATTCAAACAAAATTTTAAGAAGTAATGTTAAATTTACTACAAATCTTGTTAATAACGACGATATATTTACAATTTTTAACCAAAAAGAAAATCTTATTGACTTTGTCCAAAAATGTAACAGTTTTCCGTCAATAAAATTTATATTTAAAGTAAAATGATAATGAGGTAGAGACTCGAGTTTTATATCCAACCCACGCATGTTTAATATACAAGATCACCCTTCAGAACAAAAAAGATCGGATTTCAACTCAATGATATAACACCTCTAAAATACCACACAGTCTCTAGATAATTATAAATATACCCCCGCCGCAGCAAACCTGCAGACTAAGCGAATTTCCATTTGATTTACACTGAAATGTCTACTTAAAAATATAACATTTATTTCCGATTTAAATAGAACTAGTGTACCTGTTGCTCGAATTCGAGCAATTGCGAAGCATTACAGGCGACTCAAAGATTTTGGAAATACTCACGATCTACACAACAGATATAATAAAAATCTTTTGTAAATATCTTATCTTTTTTCAAAAAGTTGATCTTGTTTTTTTAGTGTTTTTAGTGTAAAAAAAAACATTATTTCTATTTCTTCTACTTGGTTGTGTTCTATGACTTTTTCTATGTTTCCATTGTTTGCAAATCGGTTATTTAAATTATTGCTCAAGAAATGTAGCACAGTGTTAATTCAGTTTTATTTTTAGCCTATATCAAATTAACCAAGATTTCTCACTCTTTTCCATTGTAATAATTACACCAACCCAAATTTCGTCTACAGATGCAATATGCCAAAGAATATCACCTCCGTACAATCTCCAAGAAGTGGTAAAAAAGGCAGAAACCAACCCATACAATATATATAAGTTAACTCCATAAGAAATAATTTTAAAAGTTACTGTGATATTAGGATTTTCCACTGATTTGGTAATAGATCATCATATTGCAAAACATGACACGATGCAGAAGAAAATCAATTTTAATATCAGAAAAATCCATTGCAAATACTGTACTTCATTTTGACAAATTCAATAAATCATAATTTAAATATTAACAGCTGTTGCATTAAAAATCAGTGTAGAATTATGCATATGGTCGTAATGTAAACAAATCTGAAGAGGCAACTTTAAAGGCTTCTGGGGCAGAGACCCAAGGGAATTTACCTATTTCCTCTTTTGATGGCTCATCTACAGACCAAGACCTTTCTTTAGAGACCCCTACCAAGTTTCTATGCCCAGCCGTTCTCTCAAATTAGCTCTGACAAAACTCCCGTTTTCCTCCTTAAGAATAACATGGGATGTGAATTTAAAGGCCACGGGGGCAGAGCCCCAAGGAAATTCACCATGTTTCTCTTTTGATGGCTCATCTACAGACCAAGACCTTTCTTTAGACACCTCTACCGAGTTTCTACGCCCAGCCGTTCTCTCAAAATAGCTGTGACAAAGAAAACAGTTTCAAATTAATATATAGATTAGTTTAACAAGTACTTAGGTTTGCTGCATCAGGGAGGTAAAACTGTTTTTTTATGTTATTAGTTAGTAAGAAATAAAAACATTTTTCAAATTTGATCAAAATATGTTCATAAACAAGCAAACTACAACAGTTTACTTATTCTCCATAAGAATAACATGGGAATTTTAAATTTACAATTTTTTGGAATTTTCTCCGTAACCATTAGGCGCATAATAACGCTTCAATATACTAAATTATTTGTTTTTTTTAAGCTCTACAAAATGGTTTGGAAAGAAATTGCTAAATTTTATGTTTTTTGGGTCAAAAATGCGAAAAACCTATTTTCACCCCATAAAACCCCCCGTAAACCCCCGTTCCCATGGTCCGATCATGCTGGATCGCGAACCCGTTCGAATAAACGTAGGTTTACACGTTTTTACCGAATTTCATCAAAATCGGATCATTTTTGCTCGAGTTATCGTGCTAACGGACACACACACATATATATATATATACATATATATATTAATTTGAACGGATGGTGTTTTTGGTCTCTAGGGACCTCGAAACGAAAAAAAAATCGGTACCGCGTCCAGGTCTTACCATGAGTACTACGGTAATAGCTTATTCCCTATATGGGAAATTCGCTAAAAGGAACTAAAATCCATAAACAATGTAGCTAGGTATTACGTGTATGAGACCAGAATCATTAAAATATGTTGATAAAAGCTATAAATAGAAACAACAAAGAGAAAAGAACCAAAGTAGAAACTATCAAAGAAAAACAGATAAGCACTATTTATACCACACAATATAAAGATATATAGAACACGTTTTAGAAAAATGCTAAACTGATGTGATCTTTTAAAGAAATAAATAAATACAAATATTCTTGGAAATCCTAAAAATAAATCAGAAAATACAACAAAATCTGCCATTTTATCAAATTCAGTGTAGTTGTGAGATTAATAAAGTCGGACCAGCAATAGCAAAATATTGTTTAGAAACAGACCACAAAATATCAATAATTGATACTAAATTACTAATAAGATTGACCGAACTCAATTAACTTTAATCATTACTTACAAATAAAATAGACCATTTAGTAATTAAATGATCCAATCAAAATGTAACATTACTAAATTATAAATTTTGAAAATATAAGTTAAACCTACTTTAGAATTTGTTTTTATACATATATAATTTTATATTTGTATTTTAACTAAATGTATCCTAAAAAAAAAATTTTTTCATATTAAACCACCCAAATTTTTTAAATTTCTTACTTTAAACATAAACATAACCTTGAGTTTGGTTATGTTCGTGATAATGACAGCATAGCTGGCGAAATTCCTCATAAAATAAAAAAAAAAATAAAATATTCGGTGAAGTTTTTATTTTAAATTTGAACAATTATACAGTTCAGCATTGTGTACACAAAAGTGTAGGTTTTATAAATTTCGTGTTAAATTCACTCTATAGACTGTATTTTTTTCGTTTGAATACGATTGTTGCATGTAATAAAGTATTACCATAGATAAATTATTATATAGATAAGTAAGATAAGATAGATAAATTATCATAATTTAGATATTATATAAATTATTATATTATATTATATAGTATTACTTACTCTCCGAATAAGTGAAAACAGCTCTCGAACGGTTCACATATTTTACAAATAAATCGTGTTGTGTTCTATTTTAACATGAATGGAGTCCTTACTATCTTGCTTGGCAAACCATCTTATCACATTGCCAACCTTGATAGTCGATTCCCCGTTTGCAAAAGTGTAGGCACCTTTTGTATGACTCACCGTTTCTTGATAACTACACTATACCAATTGCAAGAGTTCCCCTTCTAAATAATAAGAGCTATTGCTTATTATGCACATTATAAAAGTGTGTTGAATAATATTTAAGTTCTTTTTTAGATTTTCCTAGCAGCTAATCGACTTTTCCCTACCAATCCTACATTCATATCCTAGTACTGTATGCTCCAGCCCAGAACACGATTACACATTACTTGTTGCTTGCCCTAGGAGGTCACTACAACAATGAACACTAAAAGCTTGACATTGTAGCACACAAGTCATTCTTTTCTGCCGGGGTTTGACCCTTTCTTTATCTTGGAAACTCTCGCTCCCCATATCATTGAAAAATTCAAGAGAGGATGTTCTCTGAAAAGCCAGTTCTGTCTTAAAGTTTTGAGATGTACTTTAGTGTATGCAAATTTGAAATGCCAGGTTTATGAGTCAAAGTCAATCATACTGAACATAATATTTAAAATTACTGAGTATGTAGTACAATACGTTTACGAAAGCTTAATGAGGTATATTTTATTGTTGCGATCCAATCTATAGTTTATATGTTTAAGTTGTTTTATACACAGAAAATTGCAAATATTTGCTATAAGATAATTTGCAATATAATCATTTACATTAAGGCTAGCGTTTATTAAAACTAACTACTTGCATTTAAGCTGTTATACTAATTCTATCATCTTTCAACAAACGGACGCATTTCTTTTGCAATTGTCTGAAAAGGTTACTGTAAAACAAGGTTATGTTTTGCACTTTGTTTAACAATTGATCACTTGTAAGGCAGTACACACAATGAATTTTACTAAAACGTTTAAAGAAATCACAGGTTGTAATACATATGATTATGTATATTCTCAATCCTAAATCATTATAGAGCTTTAAATCTTGCTCACCTCTTTAGTATTATGAACTAGAGAAGTGGCGTAGGAAGTGGTAAAGCTTAGCATCGCAGAGTGTGGGAACCGTTTGTGGTAGTTAGATTAATGTATCTGTAATACTTAAATGCTATGAGAAGGAAAGGAAACAGGTCTAGAGAGGATGTAAATGTGGTAAACACAGTTTAATCGTTGGTTCACACATGTTACACGTCACGCATCGTCCATGTTTCACCCCCAACAGATGGTTTTCAGCCTACGTGAATATCCAACATAGCCTTCCTGTTATACACGGATATGTTGAAAATTAAATGCCCAAAAATCTTAAAAAACACATCGTTAATCAAAAGGTTTAACTTAAATTTGATTCGGTAAACCAATCTGCTATTTGTCCCAAAGTTCAAAGGGTGTCCTATGTAATGTTGTTTAAAATATACTTGTTTGGTAAACTCTTTAGAACAACAATATAACGGTATGTTAGCTGGGGTGACGTCTTAGCCAATATTAGCTGACGGCTTTGAGTCTTGTCCTACGCAAACATTTCCACAAGGCAAGGGGAGGGGTGCAGATTAGGTTAATGGTACTTGTACCCCCG